CCGGAGCTTGCATCTGCTGGGCTAGGGACTGTGCCATCATGGCAATAAGGTCCCGTTCTGCCTCGTAGGTATCCAGCATGGAGGGAAGGTCGAGCTCTTCCTCCAAATCCTCCCGAGTCAGGGAGTCCACCGGCACTGGACTCGACAGACCTCCGGTTGGGGCCGGAGTCAACGGTGCCAGGTCTTGAGGGCCAGGCCATAGGTGTCCCGCCGCAGGACGCACCCCGCTGGAATCCCCTCACGGCTTCTTAACAGGGGAACGATCCGTGTATGCCTTGTTTTTCTTATGCAGCACTGGGGACTGTGAGCGGTGCCATCTACTAGAGCTGGCCTTAAGAGCCAGGGAGTGGTGCCGATGCTCCTTGGAGGAGTCCTTCCTCGGTGCCGGGGCATCCTGCACCGATGATGCCAGTGCTGTTTCCAGTACTGGCTGAGGGCCGACTCCATCAGGAGGAGCTTTAAACGATAGTTCTGCTCTCTTTTAGTCCTGCGTCTAAAGCTCCTGCAAATTGGGCACTTGTCTGGTGACTTCCTCCTAGGCACTGAAGACAAGCAGCGTGCGGATCGCCTCCGGGCATAGGTTTCGCATACCTCTCACACGCCTTAAACACCTGTGACCAAGGCATGCCCCGGTGCCTGGGGAAAACTGGGGCGGGGGTAGCCCCACAAAGTAAGCTTAACTATAAACTACTGTGACTACAACTCAATTAAACTATTTATAAATAAGAAAAGGGAACCACTAGGTAGCCACTTGTGAATGCAAGAGACTGAGCTGCTCCGATGACTGTCGCTGGTGGTAAGAAGGAACTGAGCAGGCGGTGGGTCAGCAGGAACCTATATACACCGCCATGAAGGTGCCACTCCAGGGGTCTCCACAGCTGACCCAATGATCATGCACGCGGTGCACACACACCCCTATTGGAATGGACATGAGCAACACAATTCGAAGAACAAGTTACGAGAGGTAGGTAACTGTTTTTTACTAGGGTCTGTGTGTTTCTTCCCTAACCTTGACCCATTCTGTACCTCCAACCTGTTTATCCTAGCCCCATTCTCCACTCCTCAAGCTTTTAATCTTAGTCTGTCTCCTTGCCCAGATATTCTTAGTCTTACACTCTGGCCTCTCTCTCCTGCTTGCTCCCAGTCTTGGTTCCCCACCCTCCCAAATGGCTTCTCATCTAACCTAGCTCTCCCTTCTTCAGTTGGAACTGAAAACAAGGTCTTATAATGGAAAGTGTCTGGCTACCTTAACTGTAGGCTACCAGTTTTGCCTCTAGCACATTCATTCACCTTATTGAAAAGACTATATATTCTGTTACACTAATTTCTACAGCTATTTCCTTTCAGGTTCCCTTCCCAAACAGAGGGGCTAGAACCATTTTTAAATGAAAGCTTAGATTCTGTAAATCAATTGTATATCTCCAGAAAAAAGTTTCACAACCCCTCTGGAGGACAGTGGCCCAAAGGTTGAGAACCACTGCCTAGAGCAGTGTTGGGCAAACTACGGCCTGTGGGCCACATCCGGCCCGTGGGACGATCCTGCCGGGCCCTTGAGCTCCTGGCCGGGGAGGCTAGCCCCTGGCCTCTCCCTTGCTGTCCTCCCTCGCAGCCTCAGCTCGCCGTACCGCCAGTGTTTTGGGCGGTGGGCCTACGAGCTCCTGCCGGGCAGCGCGGCAGCGTGGCTGGCTCCGGCCGGGCTTTGAGCGGCATGGTAAGGGAGCAGGGAGCGGGGCAGGGGTTGGATAGGCGTGGAGTCCCGAGCCTGTCAGGGGGTGTGGATGGGGTTGGGGCAGGGATGGGTTGGATAGGGGGTGGGGTCCTGGGGGAGCGATTAGGGGCGGGGGTTCCAGGAGGGGGCAGTCAGGGGACAAGGAGCAGGGGGGTTGGATGGGTCGAGGGTTCTGAGGGGGGCAGTCAGGGGGTGGGAAGTGGGAGGGAGCGGATAGGGGGCGGGGGCCAGGCTGTTTGGGGAGGCACAGCCTTCCGTACCCAGCCCTCCATATAGTTTGGGAACCCGATATGGCCCTCAGGCCAAAATGTTTGCCCACCCCTGGCCTAGAGAATCTGATCTCAGTAGATTAACTCCCCCACCCCTCCCAAAAGTCCTTTGTCTCTGTACTTATGTTAAGTAGATAAAATATCAGTAGTTTCGTCTTTTTCATGTTCTATTTATTTTTGTGTCCTAAAGACCTAGTGTCTGTTTGGTTTTAGTTAATAAGAGATTAAAAGATCCCACCTTTATTCTAGATGTATTCCTGACAGCTGAACAGATGACAGAAAAAACATACATTTCAAACAGATTTGTTGATAATGAGTTTGATGTGAATATCCTGAGTAGCTAGCAAAATCAAGGCCATTCAGTAAATGAAGCTTTGTGGCTGGCACAGTGAGCTTTATTGACACTAATTTAATTGTTTGATTTCTCTCCATCTTGGCTCTTTTTATTTTTCTACTAAGAGCTGCTACAGCAGAACTTCCCCCAAACTATCTATCTCCCCACAGCGCCTGTTGCCTGTGTTTAGCAGAATAGTAGGGGTTGGAATCTGTGTTGTTTCCCATCAGTCAGCTAGGAATGGAAGGAACATAGAATGTACTTGAGGGCTAAAGTTATTGGGCTCTTCCTGTCTGACAGCTCTTTTTAAGAGGTCACATATAGAGAAAAAAGACTGTGCCTGGAAAGTTACATTACTTTCCTCCCCCTGAAAATGGCCAATGAGATCACAGCCCTCCCCACCATACAATTGAGTAAGGTTCTCCTTTTCCCCAACACACAGTGGGTTATGGCAGAAAAGGAGCCCACTCATAGAGAAAGGAGTGTGTTTGTACACTACACTGTAGGGATCCAAAAGTCCTTCTCCCTCCCACTTACTTATTTTGTTTTTAAAGCACAGCCCCTCAGTTGAATCTCTTGCTAGGTGTTACAATAAAGACTGTGTGATTTTAAATAACTTGAGGTTGGTGAGATGAATAGTTGCAACAGTCACATGGTGTGTAGAGCTCCTTGTACTTATTACATCTACTCTGCTGAAGCAGGTTGACTTTTCCCTGGCAGGGGACTGGGTTTGTCCTCTAGTAGCTCTCTAGTGCTTCTAGAACCCCCATGATCTATTAATACACTTTCTTCTGACTGACGGGTACCTTACTATTCTAATCTTGGGCTCAAGTATAATGCTAAATTTCATGGTGGGCCTGTGGGCAAAAAGACAAGGAGGCCAGCCAACTATTGTTTAGGTGTGATGTAAACAGAATCATTTGCTGCTAGAAGAAGCTAGCTCATTATCCCATTGGACCACTCAGGCCTCAAGAATTTACTTCCTACTATAACCTATTTGAGCTCCATAAAACATTTTGTTGCCTTAAATGTTCCCTGCCAGCTTGTAAATAGGTAACTGTTTTTGAACTAATGACAAGAGCAGGCTTATCCTGGACACAACTAACCAGTATCAAAAGCTTGCTAATCTCCCTCTTCTTAGAGCCTTCTTTCAATTCATTGCAGCCCCCACCATTCCATCTCCTCCAAACCACAAAAAAACAAAACCTTCTATTCTAAAGGACCATTATTATGGCTAGAACTGCTGGGTAATAGCAGTTTCACTCAGCGGCTGTTGATCCCAGGGAGCAAATTGTTTAAAAAAACACTTATGGGGTATTTGTGGTTTCAAGAAATTTCAATATTGGGTTTCATTCCAAATTAGAACAAAAAGATTAAAAATGCCACTTTCTCAAACTGGAAAGCCTCAGTTTTGGCCAGCTCTGCTAGTAGTCACCCCCCACAGCAGTTCTTGTGGCTCCTTCATACCCTTCCTTCTGTTGCTGCACCCCAACAGTCCAGGTCCCAGCTCCACTCCTGTAGGCCTGCTGAAGTGTAGAGTAAGTTATTTACCAGCTCTCTCTGGCTGTGGAAGAGAAGGGAATCCGACTAAGTCTGCATCGTAGCCTAATGTGCTAATCATTCACCCACTTCTTCAGGAAGCCCTCTCAAGCTCCACAGAAGGGAGGGAAAGGATGAGCTTCCACATGGAACTGACTGTAGGTTGTAGTGTAAGAGCCTCAATTTCAGGGCCCCCATGGAAAAAAGCCTTTTACAGCTGTGATTAATATACTTGTGTTGAGAACAAGTTAATACCATTATAACACGTAATCAGATGATGCTGTTAAAGATAATTTTACAAGTGCTTTTTCTTAGGCTTGGTCTACACTACAGACTTATGTCAGTATAACTGTGGTGTTCTGCGCGATGCAGTTTACTAACCGACCTCCTGCTGTAGACAGCACTATGTTGATGGGTCTCCCGTCAACATAGCTACCACCTCAGACATGGAGTACATACAGTGACTGGAGAAGCTCATCACCAGGGGCAATGTCTTCCCTAAGCACTGCTGTATGTGTAGACAAGCCCTTACTATACAAACAGTGTAGTCTTGGGAGAAATGCTGTATTTAGTTTGTGATGCAGATATTTTGGGAGAACTGGCAAGTAGCTAGAGAGTTTGCTCTTTGCCATTGTATCAAGAAAGGACCCTAGGGAGACTCAGTTGCTGCTTGATAACAGTGTTTGTGTCTGATCTGAGATTTCCTGTGTGGTGTTTGACAACATTGTTCAAAGTGTATACAACATAAAAGTTTTAGAAAATACCCAGTCTTACTGATTTTGCCTCCCAGCAGAAACAGACCTGACCTGTAAGTGCCCCACCTGCTCAGCTGAGTGGTGAATACTAAAACAAGTCCTGAAAGTTCTCTTCAATGTGCTTTTACTGTCATCTTGCCAAGTATAACAAGAGAAGATAAATGTAACCTTTTTCAGGAGACTATCCCAGCAATAAATATTTTAAATAAAATTTAATGGGTCATATAAGAACTCTGAGATATGTGCTTCAAATATCAGCCTCAGTGACAGTAAATTCACAAATCCGGTGGTGTTTATGCACAAATAAACCATTACTGTACATCATGACCTGTTCATGTACATTTATCAAGTTTTGGCCACATAAGACTAAGAAAAACAGACAAAACATTTTCACAGCAGTCCAGTCTTTCTGCTAATGGCCTGGAGCTGGGATCCTAACTCACTGATAATTAGGGTAGCAAATGACCTATCTCCTCATAATTTGTAAGTATTGTTTGTAAAATTAGGACAGGGTTTGAGGTTGGATAGAGGGTAACTCCTGTGAGAAGATGCTGTGTTTAAAATGTTAACAGGCACAGGTTGAGCTTCCGTTGCTAACAGATGTGAAAAAGCTTTAGTAGATGAAGAGCTCATGACGTGCTTGCAGTTTCTTCTACTGAAGGTAGCTTGTCCCAAACTGGCTTCTGAATATGTTCAGGTAGTTTCTCTAATTTGGTCTAAAAACAAAACAAACAATTATACCTACCAATCTGCACCTTAAATGTGACAATTCCCTCATTCGGAATAAATTATTTTGCTGTATTCATATTTACCCAAATCAAATTACAAATACTTATTCAGGTACATGAAAGGTCACCAAGTGGCAGAAGCCATTTTAAGAATAGCACAGCTTCCATCCCCTCTTCATCTTGTGCTTTCCACTGTTTGGATCCCTTGCTCTCCAGCCCTGAATCTCTGCACGTTCTCCTCTCCCCCCCTTCCCCCGCATATTCCAGAAATTACACTTGCTATTAGTCCCAGCAGATATCAACAGCTACCATTTGTCATCTGATTCATCTTCAAACTTGACTCATCCCACAGCTCTTATTAGAAATTCAAGAAAGCAATTCAATTATACCTTTTTTATTTCCATGGCAACCCCTTCAGGTAAATTTCTTTGGATGTATTCCAAATAGACATCAGCTGTACTGCCAGTTAAATGTTTTAACTAGAACAACACAGAAAATGTTTTAAAAATAAAAGTAGCCATATTTTCTGCTATTAGCATATCACTGTATAATGATATAGGCATACACTGATAGGAAAATTTCCTCAGAGTTAGAAAAGCTAGAGCACTTAGGTTCAACCTTCCCCTTCACCACAGGCAAAAGATTAGCATCATCTTTACACTCATGCACAGTTAGTAGGAGAAGGTACTCCCAGACTAGGGGTTTGCTTAACACCCGTATTCTGCAACTGTAGAAACACGTACACCTTTGTTTACCTACAGATCCTTCTGCGATTAACTTGTAGTTTGATTAGTGCAGCGTATATTTAGAAAGGCTGCCCCTGGGTATTATATAACATCCTAGCATCCTAAACTAGGTCAGGGCCCTACTATGCTAAGCACACCACAAACGCACATTAATTGACAATCTCTTCCCCTCAACAGACATGGGTGGTGGCCAGGTTTTTTTTGGTTTTTAAGAGGAAGGTAGTTAATTTTAAAGGCAACTGTGGGATGGTTTATCTGCCATTTTGTTCTATTTTTTTAATTAATATAAAAGATACGATGTGGAAAATGGTGTGCTCAGAACCATACTTTTCAGTAGTATTATTTTAATATAAGGTGCATGAATTGCATCAAGTATAACAAGTATTCTCTTTAGTATCCACTGAGACAGGATTAGGAAGTTCTGCACGCTGGGGTTAAATGTAAAATCAGTACACACATATTTCAGGAATTTTAGTGAGTGTCAAACATTAAATACTTGACAAAACTGCATTTTCTATATGTGAAGTTCTATTTGAGCTCTCTCCTTCCCCCAAATACACTCACTCACCTCCAAGCATCTATAATGTGTCCTCATTTCATACTGAACTCTGTGCTTCTTATAAATGTGTATTGACTTCAGAAGGGTGAATTGTTCTATCTTCTTGGGAGGTTCATGTCTAACATGCACAATCATTTAAACACATTATTTCATATTTTAAATCACATTCATACCCCTTTTAGATCAAACCACTGTTTTCAGTATCTACATAACCCACCAGGACTTAATGCCAGGATCCCTGCTTTAGTTGACATTTGCACAAGTGAATGAGGCAGTGTGAAAAGTACCAGTGTATTTTGGTATCACAGCCATCTTTTGGCTTAATAACTATTAAAAGACCCGGGGGGAAAAACAGGCCCACTAAATTCAGCGAGGTGATAATGATACATAGGGGGCTGCTTGCACAGTCAGTGATGCTGTCCTTACAGCAAGTTTGAAATGATACTTTAAAAAAATACACACAACCCTGGGCAAGATTCCCTTTTCTATAAATATTTTGCTGTTTAACATAGTGCTGTGTGTGTAACAGCTGTGGCTTTTGGCTGTATGGTCCTTGAACTATTGTATCCTACTGCTGTGTGAAAGGCGCTGTGTAAAACCAACTTTAAAAAAAAAAAAACTCGTGTAGGATTTTATAACAAGGAAAATAATTAAAACAACTTGTCAGGGAAATATCCCAATGGCATCAAATTAGTTAAAAAATACCATCAGTGTACATCTTTCACTTCTGAAACACTTAGCGAAAGTAAATTCCATACCTCAAAAATCTACAACTATGGATGCCATAAGGGGTGGTGTTTTACAAGTAGCAGCTGAGACCAGGTCACCTACACTTACACTTTTTCAATGGAGATGCCAAGTTCTTTAGCAGCAAGCACTGCAAAATATTCATAACTGTCCAACACAGTTTTATCATGGCCTTTAACTAAAACTGATAATTTCCTGTATAATGTGTCCGGTTCATCTGAAATGGATACCTACATTTTGTAAGAAAAAGACAAGTTAGGTGATAACTCTATACTACCCTTAATTAATTAATACAATACACATTTATCTTGTACACCCTACTATCCTATATGGGGGAAAATACTATAGGCAGCTCAACCTAATTGTACTTTTTAGTTTTGTCAACCTGTGGCTAATTAGCCACTATTACCAATTCTGTCAAGGATGGCAGAGCTGTGCACTCCAGCTAAGCCCATTGGCCTAGATTCTCTTGTAGGTATAGATAATCCACTTCCCCAAGAGGCAGTATTTAGGTCTATGGAAGAACAATGGAAGCTGTCTACACTGGGGGTTAGGTTGGCTTAATTATGCTGAGAATAATTAACTACACTCCTGAGTGACATAGTTAAACCAACTTAATTTTCTACCATAGACCAGGCCTCTAAATTTTGAGCATTCAGAAGCTACTATGGTAAAAGTTCTTGATCAGGAGGGTGAGGGCTCTTCAAGATGACTCAGGGAAAAAAATGTAGTAAGGCTTGCAATAGTTGAAGTTAAGGGTAGAGCTCAGCAACTTCTGAAGAGTTGCAGATTCTTCCCTAAAACCAGTCTACTATTACTTTTTTTTGGCACTGGAGAAGAGTCACCTTCTCAGGCCCTGCACTGTTGGCAATTCTCTCTGTAGCAGAAGAGAAATACACAGGACTCCCTCCATCAGGATAAGATGAAACATAAGTAAAATGGGAATTAAAATTTCTCCTTTTAAAATATGTACCATACGTATTTTAAAATGAAAGGACTTTCCACAAGAATACTACATTTCTATTCTACATGCAGACTGTAACCATAGGACCTCATTGAAAATGAGACCTCAATGAGTAATAATCCAACTCATACTATAAATATTCTTTTCTTAATGGGATTTTGCATAATTAAAAAAATACTCACCTATGCTAAAATAAGTCTGAATTTGTGTATTTGCTTTGTTACTGAGAATGTATATAATAAGTACAGGGTCTACTTAGTCACATACCAAAGAATTGTCCTTATGATGGTGTAAATCAGTGTGGAATCCTGAGAACTGAACCCACAACAAGTCCTTGTTTCTAGATGGGAGGAGGGAGAAAAGACCACATTTAACATGATTATAAATTAAGAGCTCAGGGTTTTTCAGACTTCATTGTTAAATGTTATACTTACAGAAGAAAATGATATTGCTTTGGCGTATCTTTGCTTGAGTAATTTACAGGAAAAGTCCCTGTTCCCTGTGAAAATAAGTTAAATCATCAGCTGGCATCTTTCAAATTAAAAGTTATTGGCTTAATGTAGATTTGTTAAAAGCTAGTTATTGTTTTCTAGACTAAAATATAGAAATGTAAGTCTGGAGGTACCACAAAGAACTTAGCATATGAAAGATTAAATGCATAGTGTGTGCATAGTGTTGGTGCAGAGCAATGAGACACATACTGGTTAGAGGAGTTTCGTTCTTGGCACTGAAGGGAACGTAGACCGAGTAGTTTGGAATGGCTGCATGATGGGTATAAAAAGGCAGCAGCTGCTATTGCAGTGCACAGGCCTGAATAAACGTCACTTTGATTCCTAAACAAAGTCCATTTACACCTAGGGTTCATAGTGAATGTTGCCCTCAGTTGAACACATCATAAAATGACTAGTTTAATTAATTTGTATGGTATCTGTCTAGAAGGATTCAGAAAGTAATATGGAAATTACCTTTAATCTGTGCAGAAATTCCACCTTAAAGTTTGTGTGTTGGAAATGCAAATCTGACTAGCTCACACACAAAAATGTTTTGGGTTAACAGTTACTTTACTTGTCAATACATTACCGTTATATGCATACAAAAAATATATGAACGCATTACCTACTATATATGCCTACCTACATAATCACCGGCAAATAAGAGGACTGAGGAAGAAACTAATTGATTACCAACGATACAAAGGCATAGTTATAAGAATACCTCTGAGTTAGAACTCAATACAAAAATTGAAGATTACTAATTTTATTAGCACAATAATGGACTCGAGCATGTGATGTCATTCCATTTCTGAATGCAGGATATAGCAATACATACAGTATTTCACAGTACAATTACAGACTTTGGCTTTGCTTTGCTTTGACTTGACTTGCTAACTGTGCCCCTGTGACAATTCACCAAATTTGGCCAAGTTACTTGTCTCTGAAAAATCAGAGTTTGCAAGGGCTCAGTAGAGACGTGTTAGAATTTAGCAGGTAAATTATCAGGTAAGATTCTATCTCTAGTGAGCACTCTCCACCCCATATAGCTCCTATGGGACAACCAGACTGAGCAGGCAACATCCCCAGAGTGACTGGGCCAGTTCCAGTCCAGGGCTCCAGGGGCTAAGCAGGACTTGTCCAACCATTGTTGCTCTCAGTACCCACATGCTGGGGCAGTGGAACTCAGAGCAAGGAGACTGTCTCACCTATACTCTCAATGGTCCCCCTGCTAGCACCCAGGAGGAAAAGGATGATGCCTCACTGGAATTTAGGGGGAGAAGGGGAGTCACAGAGATAGGCTTCACAGGGGCAGAATAGGACAGGCAGAGAAAGAAGAGTCTGTTACAGCAAAAGCACACTCACTTCCAGAATCTGGAACAGAATCCAGGATTCCTGAGTCCAAATTCTCCTCTGCTGCCTAGCAAACAGCTGTGAAACCCACTGGGAAGTATCATCTCCCTCTAGTGGATGGTCCACACAAGAGGAGAAAAACCTGCTACTGCCACCAGTTACTTCATTAGCTCAAATGGTAGAGACCTGTGCTATGTATCTAAACATTCCAAGCCTGCTATTGATCCAAGCTAGGTCAGTATGGTTCTGGTTTTTCAGTTTTGTTTTGAAATAGGAAATTACATGCAAAAATCTATTTTAAAAGAAAGTTAATATTCCAAAGTCAAGCACTTAAAAGGGAGGACGGACATGCTAGAGTTAAAATTTTCCATGCAACTGTAATGTGTCCCCTTGTGTATCTAGTCTTTAATTACATGATCACATGCTATTTTTTCCCACAAGACCCCTGGCTCATTCACTCCACACTATAAATTGTGTTCAGGAAATGAATCAGGCTTGTGTAGTGAATGAAGCTGTTGTCTGCAGGACCTCTCTCATTTGCTACAGAAGTTAGGAGGTGTGTAGTGAATGAGGAAAGACTGTAAGGAAGAGAAAGGAGGGTTTTTCAGTTTAAGCGGTTGAATATCACCTTGGAGAACTGAATAGTATTTCAGCCTCTGCCATGGAGTTCTTACGTAATGCTGACAAGTCACTTCAACCAAAACATTCACAGGTGGCTACAAATTGTGTTCCTTATTTCAAAGTACCCAACTTGAGACACCTGGAGTCAGATTTGCAGAAGAGCTGAGCACTCACAACTGCAGCTAAAGTCAATTAGAGCTGTGCATTGAACATATGAAACGCTATAAAAATGCTAACCACTCTGAGACATCAAGTCTCCTGATTGTAGTGACTACCTGACAGTTTTGGCTGTAAATTCTCTATGCCTTAGTTCGTCACCTGTCCTACAATAGGGATAATGCCACCTCCCTAGCTTACAATGGTTTTGTGAAGATAAGTTCATTAACATTTGTGATAAGTACCACAAAAAAAGCACATGAATGGCATGCAGAAATATTGAATGGGACTGCACACTGAATGAGTATAAAAGATATATTGAATAGCCACCCATACAGTTAGCACTGTCTAACCTGGGCACTGAATGAGGCAGGGGTCCTGCAGAAATAACGGTGATAATGTAAGTAAAGACTATTATAATGCATATACACAAGGGGGCCAAATTAAGGTTGTACAGGCAACCTTAATTCCAACGTTTTCTAACTTCTGACTCTGCAATCTTAATATAGTTGTTTGTATGTAAATATATATACACGTTATATTCACCATGTGCTACTGTAAGCCTCACACTAACTTTCATAACTACAGAATATTAGAGAGTAGCAGAATATGTTGAAATTAATGAGAAAGTTGATTGTCTATATAAAATGAATGAGAAGAGAAGATGTTTGATAATTAATGTCCTTCCTCTCCTCAAAACAAGAGTGGGCATCTCAAGTTCACAATAGGTATTACGTTTACACCTTGGTGCATTGTTTATCCCTTTTAATTGACTGAATGGCAGATTTATATTCTTCCACACATTCCATTTTTTGCAATTTATGTTTTTAAAACTTCATTCTAGACACAAACATTTGTAGTCGATTCAGTGTTTAAAGTGATCTACTGTTTCATCAAGCTTTGTTTTTAAATCTTCAGCCTGGGGAGTTGTGTTCCTTCGTGGTACCAAACGTTATAGCCTTTTTAACATTATTTAAATGTGTAAAGCATTATTCCTGCACACTTTTTCCTTTCTTGCATTGTGCTAATAATGTGTACAGGGACAGTACATAGTCATGTGCTTCTGCTATATAAAATTGACGGTAATCTGAAAATGTGTTAAAAGTTGGACTGTAAGGTAAATTGGTGAATACATATAGTGGGAGGGACATTCAGCACATATTAAAATATAAGTTTTGTAATAGTTCCATTTATTCTACAATTTAAGTCAAATATTTTTTAATTTATTTCAAAAGCTGGCCATCCCACAAGGCTACAGACACTCTAACAAACTGCAGTACAAATTCAAATTCCATATATAGGTTGACCCTCCTGGCTAAAACAAAATTGGTCCTCTCCTAACAACAGTCATCCAAAAGAGCCTCAACTTTGTCCTCCCCCCATACGCACTGCAGGAAAAAAGCAAACCTTGGAGCTTGGAATGTTAACAAGTCCAGACTCTGGCTGACTCAGGAAGAAAGCAAATTCCAAAGTAGAGGGACTTAATAGGGAACCCCAACTGGTAATTTACTCTCAAACTTGAGAGAACTCAAGCACCTCCTCTGACCTCAATTGTTGCAGAAATTACATAGGTAAAACAGCAGTCCCTCAAGTAGTCTAGTCCCAAATCTTTGTCTCTCTCACTTCTACAGCATAAATTTCAAAATTAATTTTCTCAGTTAGACACTTCCCACATGCTAGCCATCTCTTTGCTTCACCCACCAAGTAATCTGTAAGCCACAGTAACCATGCCAGGGCACGACTGGGAGATGGCTTTTGGGGGCCACTATATCAGTGCCATGAACAATAGATTCTAAAAGACAACTTTAGCTATGAATTGGTTGGATTTTGTAAAGAGTATACTTCCAGAAAGCAATCTGTGATGGACCTTGATAGATACTCTACAAGGCTGGACCACTGAAACAGGTCTTTTGCTCAACCTGGATAGATACAGCCCTAAATCAATAGTCTTGGATAAAGGGTATATCTACCCTACCCGTCCTCCAAAGGGTGTTCTTAACTTGGATTAAAATAGCATAGAAGACACAGCAACTCTGCTTTCAACTCATTTGTAGTTTAGGTTAAAGCCTATAGGAGAGCCTGGAGTTGAACCTAAGCTACTAATCCAAGTTAAGAACACCTTTTTTATACCCAAAGCTATAACCCCCAACTCCAGCCCAGATGTGGCCAATGACATGAGTAGAGCAGACGTTCCCCATGACTGTCATGTTAGCTACAAATTCCTGAGTCAATCCACAGGAGTCATCTGCATTGACATGGAAGTCAAACACTATTAGCCAAAGCGAAGAACCTGAGAAATTCAAGCAGGGCTTTCGCAGCACAGCCGGCTACTCAGCAATATTGACTAAACATGGTCCAGGTCTTGGACTTTAACTTAGAATGAAACAAACATAAAACTTAGAAACGGGGGTAAAGACTGTCAACTCTTGGAGCGGGACTGCCTATTTGCTCTGCCTTTGTACAGCCCTGGCAGGCTGGGCTCCTGGTCCAGGAATTGGGCTCCTGGGTGCTACCCAACCCCTCAAGGTGATGGTCTCTGTGCGGCTCTCTGGGCCAGATGCCATGAGCAGGTGTAGTGTGAAAAACTGCTAACTGATGTAATTTGCTACTAGTAGCAGATACTGATATTAAACTGCTATCTGACCTAATCTGCTACTGGACCGGGGTAGCAAATTGTAATCAGTAGCAGTTACTGATACGTACGGTTGTTCTTATTTGGTGACGTGTCCTAATTTGCTAAAACTTGACAGTGTTGTTGGATGGAAACATGAAGTCTTCAGCTTCCAAACAACCCTGCCTAGTGTACATAAGTATCAATTACCTCTTAATAGAGTGAAGTCATTTAAACATCATTTATTTTGCAGCTTCATTTACTTGCTAACAAAACATAGCAAGTGCAATACTAGAAAGACAGATGTCATTGCTAAAACTACTAGCAAGTACTTACTTATATTTTAATAACAAATACTCATTGAAAATATGTATAAATTAAATAGCACAATAACAAAGGTAAATGATGAAGTGCTAAGAGTAATTTAGAGAATCCCAGCAGCATATAAGACAAATTTGTGAACTGCTCTGAGACTTTATGCAGTCATATAAACTGATAAGGGATTCTTTGTTTTTCAGGGCTATATGTAAAATATTTCACCAAATCAAGTCTCCCTAAGCACCTCAGTAGGTTACATCAGACTGAGAGGAGCTGCGGTGACTAGGGCTTGGGATGCCTGTGCCTTTAAGAACCCAGCCTTGGGAAGCCCATTCTGAGAGGCGCTGTCCTGTGGGAGGGGATATGAAAAAGTCCCTCTGCTCCTTCTCCCTACTTTTGAAAACACTGATGTCTCGGTCGACCGGGGTAACGGTCGCCTCCTCTGCCCCAGTTTTGCCCTCTGGCAGTGCCTCACCCCTGGGCTTAACCCCAGTGCCTATCCCCCTCCCTGATTTTGCCCTTCAACCCTTATCCTAAGCCTGCCTCCAACTGCTTGAACCCCCTGACCAGTCAATTTCCACCCCATGCTCAGACTCAGGCCATCCCCTGCCGATCTGCCCCCTTTTAACCAGGGCCAGCTCTAGGCACCAGCCGACCAAGCACGTGCTTGGGGCAGCACCTTATAAGGGGTGGCTAATGTTGGGGTGGCGGGGGGTGCTTGCGGTGTTTTTGTTCAGCGGGGCGGTGCTCCGGGGGTTTGGGTGGCCCGGCCCAGCGCTCGGGGGTTCGGCGGCCCAGCGAGGCGCTGGGGGGGGCGGGGGTTTGGTTGGCCCGGCGCTCGGGGTGGGAGGGTGTTACGGCGGGCGGCGCTCTTTTTTTTGTGCCTGGGGCAGCAAAAAAGTTAGAGCCGGCCCTGCTTTTAACCCCTGTACAAAGCAGTCCCAGGAACCTGTTGCCAAGTAAGGGCAACGGCTTCAGCAGAAGATACTGAGCATGCTCACTACACCCTAAGTGGCAAAGGAAGATCCAAAGCAGCTTTTCGCACTACACCGGCGGTGGCCGCTCAGTTCTTGGCCCAGCTGGCGCGGCACCCAGGGCGCCGGCCGAGAAGCCCGAGCCCCGCTGCGGGTACGTGCAGCAGAGCCGGGAGCCAAGCGGGCTCCAGCCCCCAGGGCTGCAGACACCCGGGCGGGGGGCAGGGCCCTGGCTCGCGTCCGGCAGCGCGCGAAGGGCCGCGGCTGCTCCAGCCCGGGACCCGGCGGGGGCTGAGGAGCAGCCGAGGGCGCGGGTCAGGAGCGCGCTGAGCACTGGGGCGGCTGGACGCGGAGCGGGGAAGTCCCTGGGGGCAGGTCGGAGCATCGCTGGGGTGCGCGCGCCCTGTCGCCGCTGCCCGTCCCGCGCCCCCTGTACCTGGCAGCACCGCCGCCACAAGCGGCTCACGCCTCCCCACGCCGCCATCTTGCCCACAGCCCCGCCTCCCCCGGCAACTTCCGGCAGCCCCCGCGCCGTAGAGCTGACCCCGGAAGGATAGAGCGGCCCCACCCGCAACCTGCTACCATAGAGTTCGCCCTCCCGCCTGTAACTCGGCAGCCGCTCGCGTTCGAGTAGCAGGAGCCAGCCCCCGCCACGTGACACAGAACAGGCCCCGCCCCACCGCACTGTTACCGCCCCAAAGCCTGCGGCGGCACCGCCAGCGCCCCCCCGCCTGAGCAGAGCGTCGGCTTCAGGCCCCCGTCACGTGGGCAGCCCCCCCACGGGGAAGGCGCAGCCGCTCCCTGCCGAAGGCTGAGAGGCCCCCGGGCGGCTGCCCCGCCTTGCACCCATCGTCCCTTCGCCAGCCGCGAGCCAGGGCCTCCTGCCGCCCAGGGCTGCCGGGCGGGCTTGCCCCCCTTTGCCCCGCTAGAGGCGCTCGTCACACAGCGGCCAGCCCCCAGCTCCTCCCCGAGCGGCGCTGCCTGTGAGGAGCCCACGCAGGAGCGGGATGGGGCGGGGGCCTGGGGCTGCTGCTCGGCGGGCTGAGCCCGAGGGGTCCTTGAACTACGGGTTAAGGATGCTGAACAGTCGGTTCCACCTCGTCTCGAGCCGGGGCACGCGGAGTGCGGCTCAAAAGCTTCTCGGCGCCACTGGGATCCCGTAACCATAGTTTGTCCCTCCAGTACCATCCCCGTTAGCTTGTGCTTCCCCCAGCAGTGGGGGCTGTGCCCCTGCTCTTCCAGAGCTTCGGTTACAAGCGCTTTAGGCCAGCGCTGGTCTCCTTCTGTTTATAGTGGGCCTTGCCCTCACAGCGCTGTAGGCCATCGTCACTATTGCAAGGTAGGGACAATGACAGACTTTGCAACAGTCAGCCGTAAATAGAGTCCTTGGCTGTATGTACCCAAACGCCAGCATGTGATTACCTACAAACCTAAGACAACAAAATCAAAATCAAAAGCAGCTACATTTGCCTAAATCATTTATAGCTGTATTAGAACTCTATGAAAAGCTTCTGAAACTGACAACTAATTCTCATATTTCACTAGATTGAAATAAGACAAACAGCACTATTTGTTCAAAGTGCTTTACACAAATAGTGATTAAATATATGTGTACACACATTTCTCCCTTTACAGAGCCCCTGAGCACGTGCAAATTTCTTAACCCAATAAACTCTGTACTCAGCCAAACATGGTTACAATTGAACTTTCACACCTTGCTCCAGGCTGTTTTCATGCCACCACTTCATGGAATGACCTTCCTATTCTTTGCTAGGTTACTACATGCTCCTCAACCACATCCCTCCTAAAAATTCAATTTTTCCATCATTTCCAGAAAAAAATATAGTAATATATTAACAAGCACTACCTACTAGTAATATAATTCGGCTTCTGTATTTTTTGTACACCCAAAACTTACACTGGAGTCAATGGGCGTTTCAGATATACAAGGAATGCAGTTTTAGGGCCTTTGATGGGGAATTTTCAAGGGAGTGAGAAAGAAGTAAAGGGAAGCTCTTTCTGGATTTGGATTCTAGTTGTAGAACATTCCAAAATATCCAAGTAAGCATATGGCAGCAGCAGAAATATTTAGACAAGACTATATCAGATGTAGGAGAGGACAGAGTTCTTTAGTTATTTATTTGACAGATTTGTTTCCAAAACAAGATTAAATACACTATTGTTTGTTTTAGGGCTATGGCACCTCAGAATTTTACAATATTAGAAATAGTCACAGTAAGAAGTATTAGAGAGAGAGAAGGCTAACTATACCAAAAATGTTAACACTAATATGGGGAGGAGGCACGGGAAACAAAACACTTTTTACTGGAATGATTTAGGAATCCTAGTTACCAGATATAGAATCAGAGAATCTTAGAAATGTAGATCTGGAAGGGACCATCAAGTCCAGCTATCTACACTGTGGAAGGACAGAGTAAACCTAGACCATCCCTGACAGGTGCTTACCAACATGTTTTAAAAAACTTCCCATGGGGATTCCACAGTTCCAGAACTTAACTACCCTTGTAGTTAGAAAGTTTTCCCTAATATCTAACCTAAATCTCCTTTGCTGCAGGACTTTGTCCTACCTTCAGTGGACATGGAGAACAATTGATCACAGTCCTCTTTATAACAGCCCTTAATATTTTTAAAGATGTATCAGGTCACCCTCCCTCCCATAGTCTTCTTTTCTTAAGACTAAACATGCCCAGTTTTTGTAACCTTTCATCATAGGTCAGGTTTTCTAAACCTTTTATCATTTTTTTTGTTACTCTCCTCTGGACTCCCTCCCGTTTGTCCACATCTTTCCTAAAGGTTGGGACCCAGAAATGGACACAGTACTCCAGCTAAGGGCTCACCAGTGCCATATACCAGAATTAAGGAATGCTCTTTTAAAAAGCATCTATAAAGTAAACTATGTGTATATTATTACATATATATAACTTTGTTGTCAACCCCCCAATTTTTTAACAGATTTATTTAAAAGAAATTTTCATCACGGTAGCAAAACCCAACAAACTACATTTTATCAAAAGTATAAAATTCACTAGAAAATACTGTCCTCTTTTTGGCAAACTGTTACATAAAACCCTTTGATTTACAAATACAACAATTATTTGTTACAAAAGAAATAGTACTGAATATTCTATACATAGTGCTTTTTGATATGTACCAAGTATATGGAATCCAAACAAAAACCATCAAAAAAACCAAAACAAATATTAAGTTGTGAAATTAAGCCATCCTAGTGCAAATCTGAATAAGTTACATCCTGAAGTTAAATTGCATGCAAGTCAGATGCTAATAACATGAAGCTATATCTGGAAGAGATCACAAACTACATTAAATATGTAGTTTTTATTTCCATTGCTTTCCCACCCAAAAGTATATATATATTTTTACACTAGAGCTCCTAAAATATTTACAACCTTCTAATAAAATATATCAGTTAAATATATTTGAAAATAAGATGATTTTTTTCATAAAATATATTGATTTTCTATGTACAGACTTTACCAAAGGACTAAATCCAATAGTGAAACCATCCCATAATACATAGTTTTGCATCAGCAACTATTAGCAAGAAAACAACTTTTCTGAAATAAAACGAAACCACATTTAGATACATCTAGGCAGAACAGCATCTGTATAACATCAGACTGTGCAACATTTTAAGAATATGGAGTCAGTGTTTGAGGCCTAACTTATTTAATACTATTTCAGGAATCTGCATTCTTTCTTTATAGGCAATTTCTTTGGTTATTTTCAACTAATTTTTATCATGGGTGTAAAATTAAAAGTATGCCTGTTTCATCTTGGAGATCTAGGGGATAGTTATGTGGATTTAACACAGACATCTGGCAAATCTTTATTTAGAAGGAACCCAGATTCTTTTTTTTTTTTAAATTACTTCTGTGCAGGTCAAATCCAAAAATTTCTACAATATTTTTACTCAGTTCTTCTTCCGGCAAAACTCCCATTGACGGCAATGAAAGTTTTGCCTGAGTTCGGCAGGATTGTCCCTTCAAGACTCTCTGTATGCAGACTCCTTCCTACCAACATATGAGGAGTGCCACTTCCACAGCATGCTTCCACTTTCTCTCCAACTCTACTGAAGAAGTCCCTTCACAGAGGAGCCCTTAGGGTTCAAAGCTCCATAAGTTTGGAGGGGAGGGGAGAGGATGGGCTCTAGTCAAGTCTTTCCACTTTAAGCCCACAGACTCCAAAGCAAGTTACTGCATACACAGGCCCTGATCCTGCAAATACTTAAATGTCTGTAGACTCCACTCACAAGAGTCTAAACTTCTGTGGACTGCCCAGAGTCCAGAAGTCATGCTCCAGGGCATGGCAGAGTCAATTGGAAGTGCAGGGACATAAGGCCTTCTGTCAGATCTCCTGAGATTCACAGACATAGTGGGTGAAACCATCTGTTGTTCCATAGGGGTGGGAGGGGAGGAAACTCCACCCACCAACAAAAGAATTCACAGGAAACTTGCAACTTTAAAATGATGAGTGGTTTCAACTTACCTACAAGGGTCATTCTTGATTAGCAGAGTATTTGACCCTGAGTAAGAACTTGAGGATTTGGCCTTGTATGTTTGGCTTTAACACAAAAATGGTCTCTTTACTCAAGTAATAATCCTGTGTAGACACCGGTCCTGATTCTCACAGCCTTTGCACCTTGCATGGTCATTTACACCTGTCTATGGTGAGTGAAGAAACACTATTATTTGATAGTAGTCTACCCCCATTTTGTATTCATTTTGTACAGGTGTAAGTATACAAGGGAACGACTGTGGAGAACCAGGCCCAACATCTTGCTTGCTCTGGTTAAGACTACATTTTATGACTCCACAAATTGTCAGATATTGTGGCAAATGAATGAAATATTCTTATTGTAAAAAAATGGAAGGAATGGGGAAGATCTGAAATGATTTACATATAAATGTGTTATAAAATTTGCAGTACTGTTCTCCTATGCAGGATTCATGAGAGCATCAGTGTTGTTATCAGTGAAGCCTCCCAAACATTTACAGCATTTTATATCAAGAAGAGCTCACAAACTGCCCCTTAGTAATGAAAGGTTGTGTACCCAAGCACTGTCTAATCCTGCATGTGGTTTAGGTGCAACTCTATGAATCCAGTACTGTGTATCTGTGGAGAATGTGCCAAACCAAGCTCAATACAGATAAGGTTAGAGAGATCTTGTGTGCAGATCTTGGCCAAAGAAAAAAAAAAAATGGGGGAGGGGGGCAGTTAAAATTTCCAGAAGTGTTCTTTTGAAAGAGAGTAGATATATCAACAACATCCTTCCCCCCTTCTGTCTGTGGGGAAAGAATGTCTCTTGATATTTACTGTCTTCTGGAACATGCTCCTGCACTGCTCGACTGTACAAAACCTCTAAAACCTCTGGGATAGCTATTGAACAGTGTGATTTATTGTCACAATAGACGGTATTTCCAGTTCTGCCCAATTACAAAGGCAGGGCTCCTAATC